TCACAGCGCTCACTGGCTGAGCGTGGTGCAGCCGGTCTCAAAAAGGACAAAAAAAAAAAAGCACTACTGTCACTGGGTATGTTTGCACACGAACCGTAGGAAAGCCTGGAAGCCACCACACTGCCACGGCATCGGATCGTGGGCGGGGGGTGAGCAGTGGGGTCTGCTCTGGGCTTCGGGCACAGGTTTCTCTGTTGGGTTTCTGCTCGTTCTGAGCGTTAATCCTGGTGGAGGTGGGACTGGCAGCCCTACCTGCCCAGGATGAAGGCGATGTACACGAGAGAGGAGAAGTGGGCAAAGAACTGCAGCGTGAAGAACTTGACCGTGAACTTTCTCTCTCGCTCTGAGAAGGTCCTGGGCTTCTCTGAAAGAGACGTGGCCCGGCCCGTCCCCTGCCCGTCCCTCACCCGGAGACCCTCCCACACCCCCCTGTCCCTGCTGCTGGGAGAGGTACTGGGGACAGCAGGAAGGGACCCCCCAGATCTCTGATCATGGCTCCAAGACTCCCAGCCCTGAACCCTCTTGCCGAGTCCCCAGAGAGGGGATGGGGACCCGTCCTCTCACCAAAGTCACAAAGCTTCAGGGCCACACGCTTGTTGATCTAGGGAGGAGGGCACCAAGTGGGTCTCACCTGAGACCTCAGAGGACCCCCGGCCCCCACCTCCCCCACAGCCCTTCCCCAGCCCACCTTGGTCATGATGACGATGGTCACATACTGCACCAGGGCCCCAGTCACCACCACGGCCGTGGTCACCTGCTCCTCCAGGAAGGGCAAGGCCAAGCTGCTGAAGAGGGCAGCAGCCAGGACCCGGTAGACCACCAGGACGTGCGCCATGCCGATCATGAGGCAGATCTGCGGGAGGGCGGCCGGGGTGGGCAGGGCTGGGGGGACCTCACTCAGCCCGGTCTCCAGCCCCCACCACGGGCTCCCCAGGGGTACCATGAACAGAGACAGGACGAGGATGACAGTGCTGCGCAGGAAGGAGTGCTGGTGCGGCCGCAGCTTGTAGTCAGAGCAGTTAATGAGCTCAAGCGCCATTTCCTCCTGGGGAGGGCACCAGGCATGCCTCAGACACTAGGAAACATGCCTCAGACACAGGGACACAAGCCTCAGGCACAAAACTGCATGCCTCAGACACACACAGGGACACACGCCTCAGGCATGGGGACACATATGTGGGC